AATGTATAGGTAACAGAATATTTACCACTTCTATAATTTGCACACATACATTTCAGTAAAATTAATTACTTTAGTTTTCTAATATAACACACTCAAATAAATAATGCAAGTACATATAAGTTTTTAGAGCACTTAGGAATCTAATGCAGGAAAAGGTTGTATGGTTCATAAAAACTATAATGTAATTGTTACTAGAGTAGAAATACAGTATATTCATTATGTTAAACCATTCCTTTTTTTTAACTCTTGAGTAAATTTTGAAGTTTCCTACTTCTTTCTCTGAGATTTCTATAATATGAATGAATGAGGAAAGGTTTAGAGACAGAGACTGTCTAATCTTGATATAATTTGTCCAGACTGACATCCATGTGATATCTGTGGTCCTTTTTTAGATTGTCAGTTCATACAGGTATATTCTTAGAGTTGATCTACCTTGCTGCCCTTAAGCTCATTCAAACTAAGTTTAACTGATTGACCTATTAATATAATTCCTAAAATTGGGAAGGGTATACACCAGGGATGTGTCCTGTCCCCATACCTTTTCAATCTATATGCAGAACAGATTGTCCAGGATGTTTGGCTGTATGAGGAGAAATGTGGCATCAAGATTGGAGGAAGATTCAACAGTCTGCGTTATGCAGATGACAGAACTCAGCTTGCTGAAACTGAGGAGGACCTGAAGCACTTGCTGCAGATCAAAGATTGCAGCCTTCAATATGGATTGAGGCTCAGTATCAAGAAAACAAGGATTCTCACCACTGGGCAAATTGGCAACATCATGATGGATGGTGACAAGACTGAGACTGTTAATAGCTTTAGTTTGCTTGACCCCACAGTCAACACTCTTGGCACCAGCAGCCAGGAAATCAAAAGACGTATTGTGATGGGAAAATCTGCTATTAGAGACCTCTCCAAAGTACTGAAGAGAAATTATGTCACCCTGGAGACTAAAATGCACCAGATATAGTCCATGGTCTTTGCAATCACTTGCTATGAATCAGAGAGCTGGACATTGACTAGGGATGGTAGATAGAGAATTGATGCCTTTGAGCTGTGGTGCTGGAGAAGAGTATTGAATATACCATGGACTGCTAAGAAAATGAACAGGTTCATCCTGTTCTTGTTGTTGTTGTTATGTGCAGTCAAGTCACTTGTGACTCATAGCAACCCTATGTACAACAGCCCTAAACTCTGCTCTATCCTGGGCCAATCTTACCATCTCCAACACACCCATCCCGATTACCCCAACCACTGAATCAATCCACCTCATAGGAGGCCTTCCCCTTCTGCGCTGTCCCTCCACCATACCAAGCAAGATGTCCTTCTCCAAGGACCTGTCCCTCCTTGCAACATGTCCAAAGTATGTCAGATGGAGCCTTAGAATCCTTGCCTCCAAGGAGCAGCCCAGTTTGACCCTTTCCAGGATGAATCTGTTTGTTTTCCTAGCAGTCCATGGTACCCTCAATACTCTTCTCCAGCACCACAGCTTAAAGGTATCAGTTCTCCATCTATCCTCCTTAGTCATTGTCCAACGCTCTGATGCATAACAAGTGATAGCAAAGACCATGGCCTGTATCAGGCGCACCTTAGTCTCCAAAGAGACACCATTGCTCTTCAGTACTTTGGAGAGGTCCCTAACAGCAGACTTTACCATGGCAATACGTCTTCTAATTTCCTGGCTACTGGTGCCGAGAGTACTGACTGTGGAGCCAAGCAAACTGAAGCTGTGAACAATCTCAATCTCTTCACCATCCATCCTGATACTGTCAATTGGCCCAGTGATGAGAATCTTTATCTTCTTGACATTGAGCCTCAATCCATTTTGGAGGCTGCAGTCCTTGACCCTCTGCAGCAAGTGCTTCAGGTCCACCTCAGTTTCAGCAAGCAGGGTTGTGTCATCTCCATATCGTAGATTGTTGATAGATCTTCCACCAATCTTGACCCCACATTTCTCCTCTTAGAGCCCAGCCTCCCAGATAATCTGTTCTGCATACAGGTTGAAAAGGTATGGAGATAGGAGGCATCCCTGGCGTACCCACTGCCATCAACTTGATTCCAAATCATAATGCTTCCGTAGAATAGAGTATAGCTTCCTCCATAAGTTTTTCAAGACTTATTATAAACCTCTACAGAAGCAGATTGCCCTATCTTTCTCCCACAGAGGGGCTGGTGAGTTTGAACCGCCAACATTTTGGTTAGCAACCACACTGTTTAGCTACTGTACCACCAGTACATAATCATGTTTGATTTATGAAAAAGCTCCATTGCTTTCACCAGATTCTCAAAAATTTCTGAGTCTTACTTACTAAACATTGTAGAAACAGTAGTGAGCAGTCAATGGGGCAAAAGATAAATAGGCAACTACAGTAAGGGAGCTGTAGCAAAACCTTCTAGAGGGTCAGCTCTGAGTCAGTTCGGATTCCAGGGCACACAATAACAAGTGGCTTAATGGTAAGAAATTGTTCTGCCAACACAAAGGTACACAATTTGAATTCACCAACAGCTTTGATTTAAATCCACCAGCTGTTCTGCAGAAGAAACATGGACAATTTCCTCCTTTGTGATTTACTGCCTCTGAAAACCCGCGGAGGATCTGCTATGGGTTGGTTCTGACTCGACAGTAAATAACAACAACAGCAATTACAAGTGCTGTGTTCTATGACAGAGGAAGTCTAAGTGTGAGATCATAGAGAGGGCTGTCTAAACTAGATTGGGATCTTGACGTCATCTAAAACTTCCTGAAAAAAATTGCTATTAAATTGAAGCCTGTGTAATGCAAGGAAAGTAGAATTAGCTAAGTGGAGCTGAAGTGTGAGGTGATATCAGAAGGAAAAATGTTGCAGGCATTTGCTTGGGCAAAGATCCAGAGTCAAGAAATGCCTTGGTGACTCATAAACTGAAAGAGTATGGTACGGTTGAAATATATCATGCTTAGAGTTAGACTGAAGTAATATTAAGAGATGAGACTCGAGGTAGCTCTGGTGGCCTAGTGGCAAGAAGCTGCACTGCAATCACGAAGGCATGCAGTTTGAATCCACCAGATGCAATCTCTTCCTGTGCCAGTCAGACCTGATTTGACAATAACAACTAAGAAAAATTTTAAAAAAATAAATTAAAAATTACATATATAAAAAGATATGAGACTGAGAGGTGATCAGGCCAGTTTGTATGTGTGATGTTGGGGACACAGATACGAACATGAAAAACCCCTACCCTCAGGTAATCTTAGTAGGGAAACAGGGAATAAGTAGGCAAGTAAACAAGTTTTTAAAATCATGATAAAGAAACAGTGATAAAGCAAATTATAACTAGGGCATGCTTGGGAGGACAATTCTTTTAGACAGTTCTACATACTGTGTGTCATCAGCCAAGGGAGAGGATTTCAACAAAGATGACAGCAGGCACAATGAATAGAATATAACAGATTTGAGAATTATGAGGCAGTAGAATCAACAGAACTTGGTTGTTTACTTCATAATAATAATAACTAATGACTGTAGCATCCATTTGTTCAACACTGAATGCTGGGCACTGTGTTCCATACTTGATATATTTTTCCTCATTCATTCACATCACAACTCTGGGAGGTAGACACATTGATCTCAGTGTGATACATGAAGAACCATAGAGAATGTGAGTAACTTGCCCAAGGCTAGTATTTAAACTCAAGTTGATCTCACTCCAAACTTCTGTGGAGTAAGGGACAAAGAGAGGTTAAAGATAAAACCCAAGTGTCTGTCTGGGCAAAGGAAAGAAGATGAATTTGGATCAGAGATAAGAGTAGAGGAGATGTATTTGGGAATATGCTGCCTTTGCACCATCAACCAAGTGGCAATATCCAACAGACAAATAATGCAAGTGAAGATAAAAAAAGGAGAGATCTAAAGAAAAAGGGCACGATTGTGAGTTGCCAGAAATTATATTTGGCTCCACAGGGATAAGGGAAATAACCCTGGAAGAGGGTATGGAAAGATTAGCATAAAACATTTAAGGAATAGCACAGAGAAGATCCCCAAGAGATGTGTTCAGTATGTGGGCAAAATACCAGGAACAAAGCATCTTGAAACCCAAAGAAAGTAATTTGACATCAACAATGTCAAATCTACTTTAGAGGAGAAAGGCCAAGATATATATTCCTAGTAATAAATCCATTAATTACACAGGAGGAGTCTTGTTAGAATACTGGGAGTATTAGGGGAGCTCTGGTGGCCTAGTGGTAAGGAGCTGCAACTACAATCCCAGAGGCACACGGTTTGAATCCACCAGATGCTCTGCCAGGGAAGGAGGGACAATCTCCTCCTGTACCAGTCAGATCTGATTTGACAGTACACTCACACAAAAACAATAAAATAAAAAAAATTAAAAAAGAATACTGGGAGTATTTATTTGGTTGAGAAGTAAGCAGGAGATAAGGAAGTAGAGGACATGAATAGAGAATTTTATCTAAATGTTTGTTCTTCTGAAGCTAAGATTCCAGAGTCCAGATTTTAAGCTTGACCTCTCCAGTATGTTAGAACCAAACCAATAATCCTGGGGATTTCTTTTACCCCTTTCTAAGAAAACATGTTCTTTTCTTCTCTAGCCCATTGCTTTCTTTTTTAACATCTTGCTCTTAAACCACTGCCTCGTCTTTTCCCTATCCTTCACTTTAGAAGGTGAGCCAAATCTGGGGGAAAGGGAATAGAGATATATATCACACACTCACTCCCTATGGTAGATGCCTTCCCTTGAGTTTCTGAGACTTGAAATCTTATCAGCAGGAAGGGACTGTTTGTCTTTCTCCAGTGGAACTGCTGGTGGATTTGAACCACTGGAGGTACACATCCTTCTAGTTAGCAGCAAAACATGCGCATACATATAGTCATATATGTGTGTGTGTGTGTGTGTACATATGTGTGCACCTATTTATTGTTATCTACCTGAAAGTCCCGTGTGTTATTAGAAGGACAACTCATTATCTTCCCTTCTCCTTCTAGGCGTATGCTGGTTGAACTCCAGCCATGGAAAAACTCCGTGGGCATGTGTCTGCCCATTCAGACATCCTCTCCCTGGAGAACCGATGCCTGACCACACTTCCTGATGTGAAGATCATGGAGAAGCCACATGGACATGTGTCTGCCCATTCAGACATTCTATCTTTGGAGAACCGGTGCCTGGCTAAACTTCATGATATGAAGACCATAGAGAAGCCAAAAAGACTTGTGTCTATCCACTCAGATGTTCTCTCCTTGGAGAACCAGTGCCTGACCACACTTTCCAGTCTAAAGACCACTATATATGCCAGCTCCTTGCGCCAGCAACTCCAGATACCTCACTTGATGCATGCTGATCTGTACAGCCCCAACACCAGCCTCTTGTCTGGGCCTCCAACCTCGAGGGCTCAGTGCCTCTCTGAGAGACAAGACTTTCTAACCTACCCCATGGCCCTGAGCTCTTCCTCTGCCACAGAGAAAGTTCAGGTAACAGTTCTGGTAATAGCTGCAGTCATATGTTGGGGTTGGGGTTGTTTGCAATCATATATTGGCGTTTTTGTTTGTTTTTGATACTAAGAATGGGGTATTTTAGGGAAGTAAGCTGGAGAGTGAGGGGGCAAAGAATATCTCACAATACAAGGCCAAGTTTAGGCACAATTCCTCAATTAGTCCAGGCCCCAGCCTCAGTTCAGCAACACAAATTCAAGAAGCCTCTGGTTTCCTCAATCATCCAGCACAGTTTGCCTCGGAGCAGTTATAAGTCAGTTTTTCCTTCAAGAATCTGGCAAGGGTGGCAAAAACCTTTGACTATGGCTTTTACGTCAGGGTCCTCTGCTTACACTGTGCCACAGTTTCTCCACAGCAATACTACAGTCTCTCCACCACCAGGTCTTGCTCTCACCAGGGTCTTGCTCCAGTCTCCTGCAGATTTTGTCACCACAATCTGGCATATGTTTTAGTTCTAGCCATATCTGTTTGTTATATATTCTTGCCCCTAGATTTTAATGCCTCAGTTTTCCTCTGCTTGAATTCCTTCTTTCCTCAGAGTTGCTTCCTGAGGAAGCAGCTTGACCCTAGAGTTATTTTCATAAGAATCATTACTCATATTGCCTGTCTAGTCTAGAGATTCTGGAGAATAAACCAAAAGCAGGCACTGTTATTAGAAAGCCTCTGCTCAGGATAGCCAAAATGATCTTATATAACAAAGTCAGTCAACTTTTGAAATCTTGCATGAGATATATCTACACCAGCACCCATTTCTCTGAAACAAGTACATGTACCTGTATACTCTATGTAAGGTCAGGCATAAGATGTATCTGCTACACCAGCATCCACTTCCCAGCAAACACATCTACATATCTGTCTATCCACATTCAGTCTACAGGTCAGAATTAGTAGACAAATACTATCCCTCCTAATTGATTTCTATTATGAACTACAGAAATAGACTCATATGAACTCTGTATGATCTCTGCCAAAACTATAGCCTTGGGCAAGACTCAACCTTTTATAGACTAAATTGCCTTAATTTTAAAATTAGCTCAGTAAGAATTTACCTCACAGGATTGTTGCCAAGATCATAATCACTGCTTGTAATCACTTAGCTAAGGGTTTGCACCTTAAATGTAAGGTAACCCATTTGATCTTCCAGTGACCACCATCAGGTAGAAGGTGGTGAAGGAGCAATCTGAGGCTCAGAAAGATTATGAAGCTCAAGGTTACTGAGAGGTTGATGTAGGATATGACTCCTTTTTTTCTGCCTTCAAAAGTACCTTAATAACACCATAGGAAGTGGGGGAGGGGTCCCAGTTTCCCAGACTACAACATCTGTAAGAAAATGAAAGCAGGGAAAGATTATGAAGCATCTGGGTAAAGCTCAGAAGCTTTGGAGTAGGGGAGGCAGTGTGTGGTGGTGAGAGGATACTCAGTTGGAGACAGCACAGATCAAGACTGGGAAGGGAGCAGATCTTGAGTGCTGGAAGGTGGATGTGTATGGTTCTTCCTACTATTCTGCCTTCAGGTCTGTTTGAGCGGCCATGGGTACAGACTGTGTTTACTAACTACCACTATCCTCAGGGTCATTGCCCACCTTCAGAAGAAGAGAAAAAACCAGAAAAGACAGAGGAGGAGACCCAAATACCTTTTTATAATCTAAGCTTGGAAGAGGAGGAGGAAATGGAAGAGCTGACCTTGAAGCTTAGCCCTAATGGCACCAGATCTCATCCTGAGCCCGCTGACCAGGCCCTTCAGGAGAAGAAGGTAAAAATTCCAGAGTCAGAGAGAGGAGTTTGATGATGGGAGGGTGGAAAGGAAAGTGGAGGGATGGTGGCTAAAAGCTGAACCAGCTCCCCTTCAAGGTCACCTCTTCTTCCTCACTTCCCATTCCCTCCTGAAATCCATTATCTCTGTTCTTCATTGCATAAACTGGTCCTTATACCCCTTTTCTCTCTTCTTCCCTTCTCTCAATTTCTAGATGGCTCTGATGAGTTTGCTGTGCTCTAGTCTGATCCCAAATGTAGTCACAAGAGGAAATGGTTGCCAGCATTCCCTCCTTAGTAAATGTAGTGAAATTGCACCCTTGGAGCCTGAATTTATCCTAAAGGTATTATGGTGTGGAGGGAATGGTAGTGGGAAGTTGGGAGATAGAGAAAGTGGCTATGGTGTGTGTAGGGGTGGTGACCAGCCTCATATTGAAAATAAAAGGAACGTTACTTAGAAAGAAAGAGACTAAGCTTTCTAGGTGAGTCTGGCTGAGTCCCTGAGAAGTGGGGAAAGATGGGATTGGCAAACAGTACTTAGAGTTTGCTTACTTAGTAAATACATAGGTAAAGTGAACAATGTTGCATCTTGTGGGACATAAAGACAGGCATATGAAATTTGGATCTGCTTCTCAAATTGTCTGTAATACAGTGAAAGTAAAGTACTTCCCCGAATATATAAATGTCAGTGAAGTTGTTGTGATTGTTCAAAAAAATTGAGAAAAGGAAAACAGGCTTCCTTTTTTTTTCTCTTTTGATTTTTTTAAATTAATTTTAACGAAAGTTTAGGGACTTAGGGTTTCCAGTCATTCATTGTTGCACTTTTCTCCCTGCCCACCCCTCCCCCTATTCACTTTTCTTGAAAAATAAAAGTAAAACTCAATGTTATGTAATCCCTCCTCCCAAGTCCACTCCACTGTGCAGCCTTCATTCTGGACTCCTGAAATGACAATAATACCCAATCGTATATCCCTTTTAAACAGTTCTCTCCCTCATCTGTTTTAATGCAGTATACATCATTCATTCCCTCCTTCTCTGTCTTCCCTCAACCCTGACGTCAGTCTCGTTTTACAGCAGTGGCCCTATGCAGTATTTGTCCTTTTGTGACTGAGGTATTTCACTCAGCATAATGTCCTCCAGGGTCATCCATTTTGCATAATATTTCATGAGTTCCTTGTTTTTCAATGCTGCATAATATTCCATTGTGTGACTATATCAGAGCTTCTCTATCCATTTGTTGATGGGCACTTGGGTTGTTTCCAGCTTTTGCTATTGTGAACACAGCCACAATAAGCATGAGTGTGCATATATCTGCTTGGGTGGTGATTATGATTTCTTTAGGGTAAATTCCCAGTAGTGGAATTGCTGGGTCAAATGGTATTTCTATTTGTAACTTTTTGAGAAAACACAATAGAGCCTTGCATAGTGGTTGCACCTTTTACACTCCCACCAACAGTGAATAAGGATTTCAGTTTCTCCGCAACCTTGCCAGCATTTGATGTTTGTTGTTCTGTTAAATTTTGCTGTTCTTACAGGGTGAGATGGTATCTCGTAGGAAAACATGTTTTCTTGTGAAGTTTTGAGAGATGGTTAATTTAGCAAGTAATTTGAATCCTGGTCAGGCATTTGATCCATGATATGAGAGGTGGTTTCCAAAGACGGAGAAGACTTGGGTGACTTGAAAGGCAAGTGTAGCTTCAAGGGTGACATGCTGGAAAGGCAGACACTCAGAGTGCCAAGCCTGGGACTTTGGGCTTTGTTGTGTTTTTTTGTTTGGGGGGTGTGTGTGTACTGTCGAGTTGGATCTGACTGGCACAGGAGGAGATTGCCCTTCCTTCTCCAGCAGCTCATCTGGTAGAAGGGCTTTGTTTTTGATAGACAATACAGAGAGCTCAAGAAAGGCTTTATGCAGTGGTTTAGGTGAGCAAGTCAAGTTCGGAGATGAAGCTATGGGGAATGTGACTGAGATGCCAGTTCTCCCTACCCTGTGCCCTAGGCATCTTTGTATACCAGGCAGCAGCTGAATATCCGGGATGCAGCCAACAGACTCTTGGCCATTGCTGCTTTCTTGCCAGCTTGTCGCCCCTACCTGCGACGTTATTTCTGTGCCATTGTCCAGCTGCCTTCTGATTGGATCCAGGTGGCTGAGTTCTACCAGGTATGGTCCCCACTTTCTTGATATTTGGTTCTTGCTTCTGAAGAAACTTCCTAGACAGGTATCCTTACCTTCAGCAACCCCCAGATAAACCTTCTTGGTTTATCGCTTGAATCAGGCTGCACTGCCCAATAGGCAGGACTCAATTCAGGTGAGGTTAAACTGCAGTTTGTGGAAAAATTGGTGCCAGCAGTCAAGAAATCAGGAGATATATTGCATTGATACCCTTGGTAACAGTAGTCAGGAAATAAGGAGACATATTGCACTGGGAAAATCTGCAGTTAGAGACGTCTCCGTATTATTGAAGAGTAATTATGTCCATATTATTGAAGAGTAATTATGTTAGTTTGAGGACTAAAGTCTGTCTGATTCAGGCCATGGTCTGATCACTTGCTGTGCATCTGAGAGCTAAACAGTGAATAAGGATGACAGAAGAAGAATTGATGTCTTTGAGCTGTGGTGTTGGAGAAGAGCACTGAACATCCCATGGATGGCCAAAAGAATAAACAAATATGTCTTGGAGAGGGTGCAGCCAGAGTGCTCTTTGGAGGCAAAGATGATGAGGCTTTGCCTCACACACTTCAGGCATGTTTCTGGAAGGGACTATTCCTTGGAGAGGGATATGATGTTCAGAAAGGTAGAGGGTCGGCGAAGGGGAGGAAGATCCTCGACCAGGCAGATTGACACAGTGACTGCCACAAAAGGCTCTCATGTAGAGGATGGCACAGAACAGGGCAGAGTTCAGATTTGTTTTTCTTAGAGGCGCTATGGGTCATACTCGACTCAACGGCATCTAACAGCATAACAACAATATTCTGAACATCATGTTTACAGTGAAGAAAATAAGAAAGAAGGATCCATTGCCTTGCCTATTATCACAGAAATTGTCATTTTTAGAGCTGGGACGAAAAACCAACATTCTGTTCTTTGACTCAGATAACCTAAGAAATCGGTCCAGTTGTGTTTTGGGGAGTTTGTTTGAGTCTCAATACTGAGAATCTCTTTGTCTGACAGAGTCTGACTGAAAATCCGGGGAGTAAGCTGTCGCCCCTGCCTGCCTGCCTACGAGCTGCGATGACAGACAAATTTGCCCAGTTTGATGAATACCAACTGGCCAAGTACAACCCTCGGAAGCACCGGGCCAAGAAAAACCGCCTCAGACGCCCACACCCTTCAGTCAGTCTCCATCCTAAACCTAATCATTCACAGCCCTGATTCCTTCTATCTGGGAGCATCCTGGTTCTGGGGAGGTTGACACCAAAAGTCCTTGTATTTTTTTTTTCCTTCTCATATTTTTACTGATTTGCATGCAGTCATTCATCTATATTTCATGCATGTACATTGTGCTCCATAGAACCATTCATATACATGGTATCTTAGAAAAAGAGTTACTGTTGGTCTATGCCTATTATTAATTTGTCTTTTTAAAGTCCCATTAAATCTTTCCCTTTCTGTTATCCCCCCTAATCCTTCTACTAACCCCTGATACCCTAGTTATTTCCTTCCTCCTCCTTTTTGGGTCCACTTTGCCTTTTTCACTTCCGTTTTAAAACATTTATAGACATCTTGCTAAAAGTCTTTATTCTTGAGTATTGACACCTTCTACCACCACAAGCCAAAGGGGCTGGAGATTAGCTGGATGAGAGCTCAGTAGGAGAGGACTTTTTCCTAGCTGACTTCCTAGCTGTCTGCTCAAATGGATCCTTGCTGGGACAACTTTCATTTCTCTCTTTAAACATCATTTTTCCTGTCCTAGCAGCAGTTCGGGAGTCCATTTTCTGAGACCCAGAAATATTTCCCAAAATTCCTTCAAGATTTTAAACATCAGCAGATAAAGGTGAGTCCTTTGTTACTGGGTCATATATGTTCATATAGAATTTTTTTCTGGACTAATATTTAGAAATTGAATTGTGTTTGTGTCAGAAATACTAAAAATTGGTGTGGGGTAAGTTCTTCAAGCACTGGGGCAGGCTCTTTTCTTTTTCTTCATTTTTCTTCCCTTGGTATTATATTTTATTGGCAGGTGGCAGGTCTAGCTTGATAAGTGATTTGAAAGCATCATGATATATTTACGTACAGTTCCAAACAAATGAACAAAAACCCTGAAACCAGTTGCATTTGATTTGATTCTGACTCATGGAAACCTAATAGGACAAAGTAGATGTGAAAAGCTTCCTAGACTGTCCAATCAGTATGGAACCAGACTGTCACCTCTTTATCCCAGGGAGTGGCTGGTGGGTTCAAACCACTGACTTTTTAGTTAGCAGCCTAGCACTTAACCACTGCACCATCAGCCCTCTTCTGCCCCCTTACAGAAAGTTTTAAAAACAACAAAGAAATAAAATAACTTTACTTTTTAAAAATGTTTGAGTGCAGGTTTGCAAACCATATTACTTTTTCATACAATCATTCATGGATATATTGTTTTATAACATTAATTGCCACTGAAAATTGTTTGGTTTTTTTTAAATTATACTGATTTATTTACAGAGTTAGAATACATTGTTTTTCACATCAGATCTTTCCCATTTCCTTCACTCCCCCCTCTTTAAATTGTATGACCCTATGATTAACACCCTCACCCCTGCCCATCCTCATCTCTCTGCTTTCACCCTCCCCCCACTTGGATCTTCATACTCATTCTATAATAATGGTTTTATACAGTATTTGTCCTTATGGGATTGAGGTAATTCACTCATTCTTTAGTATAATGACAAATATGGCCCTGCCCTTGGCAGTTAATAGCATAGAATCTGAATTCAGATTACCTAGGTTTTCCTCTCTTCACCATTTGCTGGCTGTGTAACCTTGGTCAAATAACTAAGCTATCTTGCCTCAGTTTTTTTTTAATGTGTAAAATGAGGATATGGGGAGTGCCTACTTCACAGGCTTGTTATGAGGATTAAATAATTTACTAGAGTGCATTTATATCAATGCATTAAGTAACTGTTAGTGATCATCATCATAATTATGAAAAAAATTGCTAGGCAAAATATATTAACATTACAGGGGAAAACACATTCTCAATTGGTCAACCAGTCTTTTCCCTTTACCATGTTAATAGATTTTAAATTTAGCTATTCTACTCTAGCAGATACTGGAAGCAACATCTTTCCACTTTTCAGCTCCCTGCCATGTGCATTATATTGATGCCTCCATTTATCAAAGTCTTAGTGGTTAATTCAGAGTCGATTTTCTTTTCCTTCCAAGAATGAGGATGTTCTGTGCTGATTCTGTCCCTGTTTTGTTTTCCACAAGTCAGTCATTCCATTCCTGCCATCATCTGTACGTAAGATCCAGTGACCCCAAAGACCTGCTGTCTTGTGCTCATCACAGGAGCTCTGGTTACTGAAGAGATTTCACCCCTGATCCTGCTCTTTATCTCAATTTTTTTTTGAGGAAAGATTACTTCATAGATATTGGTCGGTTTCAGTCTCTGCTTTCTGAAGAGAGTGTTTGTAGCCATTGGTGAAATAAGCTTGTGGGAATTATGTTTCTTTCTCTAGTTTGAGGCAGACTATAATGCAGCGCCAAAGAAAAAGGATCCACCAAGGTTCACCCTGAAGAAGCTGATACAGAGATTGCATATCCGGGAGCCTGCTCATCATGTTCAAGCCCTGCTGGGCTACAAGTGAGAAAATATACTTTGAACATTCATCCCACTTGGGTAACTCCATGACTTATCAAAATCTCAGCATGGATGTTGGGAGCTTGGGTGGCCTAGTGGTAAGGAGTTTCACTGCAATCATTAAGGTACACGGTTTGAATCCACCAGTTTTTCCAAGGGAGAAAGATGTGCAGTCTCTCCTGTGCTGTTTACTGCCTCTGAAAACCCACTAGGGGGTCAGTTCTGGGTTGGTTCTAACTCAGTGATACACAACAAGCAACATAGCCCTAGTGCCTGCAGTCTTTAGCCACAGCAACCTTATTAGCTTGAGCAGACATGGCTGGTGAGTGAACATGACTGACTGCCTGTGACTAACTCACCTTTCCTCTTTCATGACAATCTTGAGCCAGCTTTGAAATAAGAAGCTCTCTTTCTTCTTTCCCAGATATCCCTCCAACATACAGCTTTTTTCTCAAAGTCACCTCCCTGGGCCATGGGATTCTAGCAAAGCTGGGAAGCGGATGAAACTTCCTCAGCCAGAGACGTGGGAGCGAGTGTTAAGCCTCCGTGGGAACAAAGCTGCTGTCTGGGAGGAGCTCATTGGTAGGATGACCTTGATCATCACACTTGCCTCTTCAGGTCTCTATATTTCACACCCTGACCAGAAGATTTCTGTGATGTGATGCAGCTATTCTCTTACCTGGTAGTTGCAAACTGAAAACAATTGAATTTGTAAGATCTGCCCTTGAACACACACCAGAATAGAAGTGGTGCCTGTTACGAGACGTTTCAACATCATGTTGTTGTTTTGTTAGGTGCTGTCTAGTCAATTTTGACTCATAGTGATCCTATGTGACAGAGTAGAACTGCCTTATAGGAGTTTCTGAGCTATAGTGTTTATAGGGGAAGATCTTCAAATCCTTCTCCCACAAAACCACCAGATCAGTTAAAACTACCAACCATTTGGTTAGCAGGCAAGCCTTTAACTGTTTTGCCACCAGTCGCTTAATATTCCAGGTGTATTTGGATGATAGGAATAATCCTTTATCAACACATAAAACAAATGGTAACTTCTGTATGATTTCATTTGTATGATTTGTATAGGTATAGCAATACCTATACAATTCATTCAAAACAAGTTAGAACAAGCATACCATAGGGAGCGCTGGTGGCCTAGTGACAAGAAGCTGTGCTGTAATTCCAAAGGCAAGTGGTCCGAGGCCATCAGCTGCTCTGTGGGAGAAGACTGGTTGAACCAATCTTCTGTGTATATATATATATATATATATATATATATATA